CCGGAAAGAGCCCGCTTTGGGTTTCCTCTCTTCCTTGGTTACTATAGAAACTAGGAGAGGCAAGTAACTAATGAAGTGCTGAGCTACACAATCCTCATCTTCCTTTCTCCTCCTCCCACTTCTCTTCCTCCAGCAGAGGAAGGGCCCGTCTGGGTTCGGGAAAGATGCCACATCGTACAGGTTGCTCTGAAGCGCAAGCAGAGCCAGACATGGCCTGGAGGGACAAGCCCTACCCACTGACGGCGGGACTGGTACAGCGCGCTTGCTCCTGCCAAGGGTCAGGAGACAACCACCATGCTTGGTTCCTGCACAAGCAAAGGAAATTGCCGCACACATGCATCTGCAGAGAATCCCAAAGGCAAAGACCAAGGAAAGCCCAGAGCTGAGCAAAGGCATTGGCAGCAAACGGTTTCCAAAAGCACCGAGGGAGGATGGAAGACGCAGGTGACTTATTGTCCAAGCTGTTTGCCTGCCACGGAATCAATCTCAGCGCTGTCCCCTCACATTTAGCCAGCAGCGTGCTGGTGCAAAGTGCTGGCGCTAGCGCTTCCTCGACCTCTGCCGAGGGGAGGTGCATCCCCACGTGGGATCGGCAGCCTGACAGCCTGGGTTCTGTCGGGGCCCCCCGCAGGGCACTGAATTTAATCACAAGCGGAGCCTTAAATCTAAAGCGTGGCCCTGCAGAGACGCATGGATTGCTGTTTGTTCCTAGCAGCCAGCTTTGAAGCTGCCAGAGAACTGCGTGCCATTTCAACTGTTGCGCCCCAGACGGGGATGGCAGAGCTGAGTGGTCTGCGGCCATGTCTGTCCAAGACCACACAGGAAGACAGAACCAAGTGAGAATTCCTGTCTCTTGCCCTCTCAGAAGCTTGTCGCAACATCACTGGACACAGACGCCTTCAGGGGACTCAACCGCTCAGAATAACCTAACGCAGCGACAACATGCAAGGAGGGTGCTGGGCTCGGACGCTCACTTGGCTCCGCCACCGTCTCTATTGCTCCAGACGTCGGGATCCACACGCGGGAGGGCATGTGTCACTTCCAATTCCCTTCCAACTCCAGCCACAGCTCTGTGAGCAAGTCAAAACCAGTGTCAGCTCTTCCACATCAGGCAGTGTCGCTAGGCAACAGGGCCATGCTCGGGCGGGACAGCTTATGCAATGTGACAGCGCTGCCTTTAGAAGGGGGGGGGGTGACAGAGCGGTGAGGCCAGCCCCACTCAGAACCAGGCTGGATGTTGAGCCACGAGAGGGATGTCGGCCCGCAGGGAAGCCTCCGTTAACGACCACACGGCACGGGGGGGAAGCTTGTGCGAAGCCGATGCTGACCGTGCACTGACTCCCTCCCCTGGGCCTAGGGGACAGGAGGACAGTGCAAACCAATCTGCAGAATTCAGGGATTCCTTGAGTTGCCCAAGCTAAGAGCATCTGGCCCCATTATGTAGCCTCCGAGAGGATTTGGAGAGGTTTTTTTTTTTTTTAAACACATTTGCCTTGTCTACAGAGGTTATGCAGAATTAAAAATGACGACTAAAAAGGTGCAGCTGAAGGAGCTTTCCTTCTGGGGAAAACACTCAGCTACATCACAGCCACAAACCCCTTTCACATCCCTGCCTATTTCTGCCCAGGGGCTTTGATGACCAGTCACCATGATTGGATTTTTTGGGGCAGGGAAAGGATTAGACAATTGCTGATGAAGCTTCCATCCTGCAAAGACTTGCAAGAGCACGGCCTTCAGTCAGCCCCTGGCAGAATTGGGACCTACAGTTATAAAAGAAAAAAGAAGATGAAATGTACCATGCTCAGAACCATCTCCACTTCCTATTTTATAATCCAGAGAATTCTCTTGCACACAGATTGCTAACCACATCCACCTAGCTCCAATACAGGACCACATGCATTCGCCACCTATTTCTTGCAATGGAGGCTTTTCTGAGTTCAGAGATCTCCATGTCATTCACCAGTGACCGGTGGGAAGCAGCAAAGCCCAATTATTTCATCTGTACCCTCAAACGCCTCCCTCTGCATCTAGCAACACTGGACAGAGTCTGTGCAGCTAATCAAGAGGGGCACCTGCAAATCTTGCCTGATTCCATTGGGAAGAGTCTCAGGCATTTCCTAGTGATGTCAAGTGCAGGCTTTGACATCCGCTGTGCAATCAAGGAGAAGCTGGGCTGTGAGGGAGATGATGCTTAAAAGACACAAGTGACCGTAGAGTGGGAATGCCAGGAAATGCCAGATAGGGGCACGCATGCTCGTTTCTGAGTTTGCTCCAACATGAAACTCTCTCTCCAGAAGGTCCCCAAGGCTTTAGCTATTAACAACCACCCTGGACTTTTGCCTTCGCTAATCACGGTCTCTCCTCGTGCATCTTTATGGAGATGAAAGATTCTGCATCATTTCAGCTGAGACGTTCTGAACTGGCCTAGAGATTGCAAATGTAGCAGCTTCCTGGCTTCAGCCCTCTCTCTGAAAGCATCTAAATTCCATGCTGATGCAGGTGTTGGGCTAGCGAGCAGCCCTGGTGATTGAAAACACTGGATTGTCCATGCAACACAGCAGCAGTGTGAGCTTCCCACCCCACTCACAGGGGTTATTTCTGAAACAGAGGAGCCCATCTGTAAGGCTGGGACGGGCTTTCCATTCCCATTCAGTAACTGCTCAGAGTGCAACAACAGCACCAGTTGGACGCTTGGTGGCAGCAGTGGGGGGTTGGTTTCTAACAAACCTCCATCCCCTGAGAAATGGGCAAAGACCCACAACCACTGAGCAGGCAGACGGTGACTACTGTCCATAGCCATCTCGGCGGCAACTGAAATCAGAATGGAGAGGAGAAAAGTGTCCTGGGCCAGACTGTCAGGGGCATTCAGGAACCTAACCATCAGATGGGAGCCGAGCTGCCTGTACAAAACACCTATGGTTGTTATGCCCATAACTCCCATGGACTTTTGGGAGTTGGGCACCTCATCTGCTTAGTGGCTTCTGAGGATTCCACTAGGCTCGTTTACATTTTTAGGTGCCTAACCACTTTGGAAAATCTGGCCCTACATCCCAGGCGCTGTCCAATTCCGGTCTTGTCCCTCACGGGTAGGCTGAGAGGTGAGACGTCTGCGGAAGGAGAAGAACGTATGAGGTAACTGAGCTGACCTGCCATTTTCTGGACTCTGTTCTCTTCAGTCAGACCTTGCTCTAAGACAGCTTGGCCTCCCCTTTTGGCCATTCAGAATCCTGTGGGGGACCCTCTGCTGGCAAGGAAACGTGCAACTCCACAAACGTACACTGCGTAAGAGCACGGGCTGGGGAAGAGCAGGCAACGCACACAAGCTGCTCCCCCACTGGGGGAGGCACTCAGAGCAGTCACGGAAAGGGGGCCGACTTGCGTAGTAAAGCCCCTGCACTCACCTGGCGCATGGAGAACTAGGGCCAGGTTTGCAAAC